GCGCTGCTCTGGTCGGCTGGGAGGGAAGGACGCGGGCTGCCCTGCCGGGCTTGCTGCAGGGCGCTCCCGTCCTCCGCGCCGCCACCCCCTACAGGACGGCCGGAGGGCAACACTACCAAAAAAAAAAAAAAAGCGTCCGTGCCGCCCTAGGATTGGGCGGAATGCCGCCTCCTACAAGCTGCCGCCCCAAGCACCAGCTTGCTCGGCTGGTGCCTGGAGCCGGTCCTGCCTACAACCCTTTCAAGCACTCACAGTCAAATCTCCTTGAAAACAGGAGCACTGTTTAGAAGAGTCATTATGGTGGCTGTGCATGGATAGTTTGGGGATCAGTCCTGCCCCAGTGAATATCAGAAGGGTTTTGGCTGTTCATGTCAGTGGGAACAGGATTGGGATCTAGGTGAATATGACAGTAGGCTGCATGCTATTGGCTGAACATGAGTCTTTTCCATATCTGAAAGCTAACAGAGCTCTCCTTTAGCTGGGAGACCCTCGTTTTGGGCTCTGGAGATAGGTGTGGGGTAGCCTCTCCATCGTAAAGTTTGCAGCAACAGTCTCATTATGATGTTGTTTTGAGCCCATATGCAACTCCGAGAAAGAGAGATGGATCCTCTTTTGGGGTTAAGCCTCAGCAACAACAACAACAACAACATTTTTTAGCACTCTTATTAAATTGTGTAAGCACTTTTTGAGAGTGAAAGACCTTAAAATGGCTCCTCTCTGGTAGTTCTGCAATGTGTCAAATACCGCAACACCTCGTGAAAGGAAATGGTAGATGGAAGCTGCTCTAAAGAAACAGGTAAAAACGATACACAAGCCAGCTAAGATATGGAAGAGGAAAGCACTTGAGTTTGCATCCTCCTTTCAGTGAAATTCTTAGAGACACAATGTATTTTGCCATCTTGACAGGGAGTTTCTGGGGAGCTCAGGAATTTGTAATCCAGCAGACAGTTTAAGCTTCAAGGAAAACACCAGTGATTAGGCACAGCATCTTTAAATACTATACTGAGCTGGTGGGTGGGTGGGTGGGTGTGTGTGTGTGTGTGTGTGTGTGTGTGTGTGTGTACACACCACATGCGTGCACCACTGCCCTCTGCTATACATAATCAGAACTGCTCAACTATTTTATGATTATTATTTATCACTCATAGAACAGGAATGGCCAGGAGCCCTACCCTGGACCACAGCTCCATTGGGCTAGGCACAGTACAAACACAGAACAAACACATAGGCCTAAAACTTTTAACAGATTTCCTTCAACTCCAGGGGAAGGGGCCAGGGCATTTGGATGATCAGAGCTCTCTCCTGGCTGTATCTGCGAAATGCCCAGTGGCCCAGATCTGTGATATAAGGCCAGGCATGAAGCTCCTGGACGGCCAAGGATTTGTTGCAATGTTTACAAATAACTTCACAAAAAATGTTAAAAACCCATCACCACTTCAACCTCCCTCCTGCTGCAAATGGTGTGATTGGTACCTTATTGATAGGGCACTGTCATTCTCATCAGCAGGCCCTGCCTGATGACAGTGTAGGACTGTGAGGAACAGGCCCAATCTGTAAACACGGAATTGCAACGCTGCGGAACAGGAGCGATATAATGAATTTTGTATAGACAGAGATAGTCCGATTCTGATGAGTCCTTTAAATCTCTTTTAAGTTAACCCAAAAAATATTGCTATAGATTACTGTCACCCAGTTTCTCTTCCAGCTCTAGAAGCCCGTTTTCCCATTCATAGGAATAGGCTCCGATTTCTAACAATCCCTACTGGGTATTCTCAGATAGTAAAGATGGAAGCTCCTGGTTTGACTGTTAAAATTTCTTATATACATATTAAAATTAACAACAATTATATATAATTTCTTATATATATTATAAGTATATATTTAATAAAAGATTTACTCCTCAGAGGTTCAAACATCTCTCCCAGGACTCTGCCGTGGCTGGCCTCCCCAAGGACATCAGATGGAGAGGTCACTTCTGAAAGTCTTTGCAGTGGTTTTTAATCCCTTTTATGTAACCAGCTTCAAGTGTGATGCTGGAGACTTCAGTTCTATCCAGCCCAAGTGGCCTGGCTGCCTCAGGCTGCAGTGCAGCAGCTGCCTGAGGAAACCCCAGGGGAGTTGAACCTACAGCCTCAGAGCACATGAAAGGTTTCCAGGGCAGTATCTGAAATTTACACACGGATTCCTAGAACTCATTCAGATGATCTGCTGCTGCTTTTCCCACTGCTGTCAGGGATCAATAAGACACCACATTTCTTCTGTCTGGGTTGTGCTGCTGCTCAGCACTGCCCTCCTGAGAACTGATGATCCAATGCACATTTCCTGCTGAGGAAGCTCTGCTTTGATAGTTTTATCTAGTACCTTACTGAGTGGGTAGCTCTCGCCACCAGAAGTGCATCAGGATCCAGCACCAGTACCTCTTCACCCTCCAAGGGGGACTGCATCCTCCACTCTTTATAGCCCGCTCAGGGAAATGTACTCTGGGCCCAGGAAAGTCACGGGAAATTTGGCACCAGACTTCAGCAGGTGCAGGAACAGGGAGTTAGTTTCAATCATCCAACTGCTGTCTCCTTTCCCATCTGCAGAACTGGAAATGGTCTCACCCTCTCATCAGTGGTGAGTCAAAGTGGTGAGCAGGCGTGGGCAAGGAGGCCACGCCCTTCTCCCCCACTGAAGCAAAGAGGCAGAGCAGGGAGGTGCACACCAATTCCAAGAGCACTCACTGCTCCGCCTGGTGCTTCTAACAAACAAGGGGAGTGCCCCAGGGACCAGAGCTTCACTCCTTGCCGTGCTTCTGCAGTCCAGGTAGAGAAAGAAGTGGAATGCCCAGCACATAGGCATGGAAAAAGAGCCCCGTCGCACATGGGGGAGAGGAACATCTGCTAGGACTAGGAACTCCTCCACTCACATGGAGAAGGAACTCGGAGTCTGAGCACACCCAGCTGTTGCAGAGGGGGGTGGGAAGTAGGACCTATATTTACTAAATTCACACTGGCCAAGCGGCAGCACTCCTACAAGACGAAAGTGGGGAATCATCAGCAGGATGCAGGAGCAGCACATGGCGGAAAGCAATGTATTCCCTGCCTGACCTGGGGAGGGGTGGATGCTGGGCTTCCTCTCAGGCTGGCTTGGCCCGTTTTTCACTTGTAGGTATCCAGCAAGCATCCTGATTCTATCCCTCTCCCTTTTCCTCAGCACCCTCCCCCAACCCTTTCCTCCCTTTCCTCTCGAACCCTCCTCCCCCACCTCCCCTCAGCTACCCTCCTCCACAAATTTAAAAATAAATGCATCTCGTAAGAGCATCTCGTGGCAACAGCCAGAGCCCATCTGTCAATCGTGAGAGCTCTCTCTGTGAAGCTCTGCACCAAGTCAGCTCTGAAGCTTGTTGTAATCAGTGCTCTCGGCTCCTGCTCTCCCCGAGCTGCAGGCAGAACATGGAGGAGGGAGAGGGAGCACTGATTAGAACAAGAGCTTCAGGAGCATGGGATGCCAGCAGCACTATTCACAGGCTGGTGTTTCCTCCACAGCTGGACTGTGCATCCAGCTCTCCTGGGGATTTCAAAGCTGATATGTTGGGTCGCTGCCATTGGTGCAATCCTGCAACCTGAATCCAGGCCAGTCTGAGTGGTTAAAAGTGCTGGATATTATACACCCTGCATACGCTGGCCCAGGGCCAGGGCTGTTTCGAATGTGTTTACAACTTGTCAGTCTAAGTACTTTAGTTTACTAACCAGGTTGGCACTGCGTGTTGTATTCAATTACTGCAAGCCTGGGATTCACCAGCTCCAAGGATTAGACAGATACAGCTCTTCCCAAA